TTAATACATTGAATAATAATAATAATAATAAATAATATAATTTTTTCTTTGCTAATTTCGAAATTGACGATCATGATTAATCAACAAAATTTATGACAAGACATGTAGTGACATGAACCATGAAAAAGGCACACGAGATTTCACACTATCTTCCTCTAATTTGTAACTATCATTTCTCTGATTTTTTAACGTTATACTTTCAGTAATAAGTGTCACACGATCGATATTCTCCCAAATCTATATTCTTATTTACTTAAATATAAATATATTATACCTAAATAGTGATTTGAGAAAAAGAAAAAGAAAAAAAGAAGAATCGAATTCCCATCTGATTGGATATTAAGAAAGTGGGGAATCGAATGTCCTAAATGCTTCTTGTTCGAATCTCTCATTATTCATTAGCATGATAATAAATATGGATTGTGGGAGCTTCTATATAACAAAGAATCATCTAACCGATTGAGAAAAGTACAGATCAGAATGTAATAAATCAAGATCAACTCTGTGTAAGGAGGTCAACTCAAATAGAATGTCTAAATCCACTATCAATAATCATCGAGCACGTGTTATGACACAACCAACTAGCTCACCAACAACGAAACAAAAGAATCATGCCAAAATCGTTCTAAGAAGTCAAAAACTAGGATTCAATAATGAGACAAGATGTTAATAACTGAAAAAAAAACGTTCAATGCGACGATGCCTATAAATATATTACAAGAAAATTGTTATGAATTTTCACCGTAAATTCGTTTTGATTGTGAAAGTTGAATTGGCCGCTACAACCAATCAAAATTACAATTTGAAGAATTGGTATAGTGTTTAGGTATACTACACCGTTTCACCCTTTTTAGGGAAAATTGCACTAGTGGTCCACAATCTATTGTCTAGTAACAAGTTGATCCCAATACTTTATTTCGTTATTAGTCCTCGATGATAGAATGGTCCAATCTTTGTAAAATCATTGGATAAATTCTATTCTCGATAACTATGTTCACTCTATTTCAATCGAGTAATTGTATTTTAATTTTGTTCAATCAGAAAACTACACATTAAGTTGATTTCAATCAAGTAATTATATCTAATTCCATCACATGAATGTATGGAAAATCGATAAATGATGTCCACCATTTATTTCAATTAAACTGTACTCATTTCAGTTAACAACTAACCGTTATCTTTAATTACCATCATTTGTTGGTTGTAACGTCATTGATTATCGTTAGTGCAATTCAACAAAGTTACCTTAATTGAAATTAAATTAATGCGTAACTCTCGATTGAAATCAAATCAAAGTGTGATTATTCGATTAAAATAGTATTAAAGTATAGTTATACGTTAAACAAAATTGAAGTACAATGACCCGATTGAACTAAGTGCCTGTTTGTCTACCATTATTGGAATGAAAATGGTGTAATGAATAATATTTTTTAAGAATGTATGGTTGAAATTGAAAGAAATTTTATCGGT